CCACACAGAATGAGTGTCACATGCTTCCACTATGTCGGGCCTACCAGCTGGAAATCAGTGTCAACTTGGAGCAGGCATGGAGGGGTGCGAATTGGGTGCGTTATTGTACTGGCCACACAGAATGATTGTCACATGCTTCCATTATGTCAGGCCTACCAGCTGGAAATCAGTGTCAACTTTGAGCAGGCATGGAGGGGTGCGTCTTGGGTGCGTTACTGTACTGGCCACACAGAATGAGTGTCACATGCTTCCATTCTGTCAGGCCTACCAGCCGGAAATCAGTGTCAACTTGGAGCAGGCATGGAGGGGTGCGAATTGGGTGCGTTATTGTACTGGCCACACAGAATGAGTGCCACATGCTTCCACTATGTCAGGCCTACCAGCTGGAAATCAGTGTCAACTTGGAGCAGGCATGGAGGGGTGCGAATTGGGTGCGTTATTGTACTGGCCACACAGAATGAGTGTCACATGCTTCCATTCTGTCAGGCCTACCAGCTGGAGATCAGTGTCAACTTGGAGCAGGCATGGAGGGGTGCGAATTGGGTGCGTTATTGTACTGGCCACACAGAATGAGTGTCACATGCGTCCACTATGTCAGGCCTACCAGCTGGAAATCGGTGTCAACTTGGAGCAGGCATGGAGGGGTGCGAATTGGGTGCGTTATTGTACTGGCCACACAGAATGAGTGTCACATGCTTCTATTATGTCAGGCCTATCAGGTGGAAATCAGTGTCAACTTGAAGCAGGCATGGAGGGGTGCGTCTTGGGTGCGTTATTGTACTGGCCACACAGAATGAGTGTCACATGCTTCCATTATGTCAGGCCTACCAGCTGGAAATCAGTGTCAACTTGGAGCAGGCATGGAGGGGTGCGAATTGGGTGCGTTATTGTACTGGCCACACAGAATGAGTGTCACATGCTTCCATTATGTCAGGCCTACCAGCTGGAAATCAGTGTCAACTTGGAGCAGGCATGGAGGGGTGCGAATTGGGTGCGTTATTGTACTGGCCACACAGAATGAGTGTCACATGCTTCCATTATGTCAGGCCTACCAGCTGGAAATCAGTGTCAACTTGGAGCAGGCATGGAGGGGTGCGAATTGGGTGCGTTATTGTACTGGCCACACAGAATGACGAGTGTCACATGCTTCCATTATGTCAGGCCTATCAGGTGGAAATCAGTGTCAACTTGGAGCAGGCATGGAGGGGTGCGAATTGGGTGCGTTATTGTACTGGCCACACAGAATGAGTGTCACATGTTTCCATTATGTCAGGCTTACCATTCGCTTTGTCATGGCTGAAGTGTCAGCTGGCTCGCTCAGACCTTGACAGCTCGAGCAGTTTGACAGACCGTTAAGCTGCTCGAGCTGTCAAGGTCTGAATGAGCCGCTCGCCGCTTGGCTGGTGCTATGACTCTGTTTTGGTTGATGATACCTTTAAGTTTGCCAAGTGTCACCATGTCGACGACAGTTCACTAAAGTCAGGTCTTCCTCCTGGGCATCAGTGTCAACTTAGAGAAGGCACGGATGGAGGGGTGCGTGTTCGGTGCGTTAGTGTACTGGCCACACAGAACGAGTGTCAAGTGATTCCGTTATGTCAGGCTTACCGTCTGCTTTGTCATGGAATGAAGTGTCAGCTGGCTCTCTCAGACCTTGACTCCTCGAGCAGTTTGACAGACCGTCAAGCTGCTCGAGTGGTCAAGGTCTGAATGAGCCGCTCGCCGCCTGGCTGGTGCTACTCTGTTTTGGTTGATGATTCCTCTGCCAAGTGTCACCATGTCGACAAGCAGTTACGGTGCAGTGGATGTCGATGAGTGTCAATCCATTAAAGTCAGGTCCTCCTCCTGGACATCAGTGTCAACTTGGAGAAGGCAGGCAGGTTTGCGTATTGGGTGCGTTATTGTCCTGGCCGGTCAATTGCTCCTTAATGTCAGGCTTACCAGCTGGACATCAGTGTCAACTTTGAGCAGGCATGGAGGGTGTGTGTTGGGACCCAATAGGCCCCCTCCATGCGTGCTCAAAGTTGACACACCTACCAGCTGGAGATCAGTGTCAACTGTGACAAGGCAGGCAGGGGTGCGTATTGGGTGCGTTATTGTACTGGCCACACAGAATGAGTGTCAAATGCATCCACTATGGCAGGCCTTCGTCTTGGAGATCAGTGTCAACTTGGAGCAGGCATGGAGGGGTGCGTCTTGGGTGCGTTATTGTACTGGCCACACAGAATGAGTGTCACGTGTTTCTATTATGTCAGGCCTACCAGCTGGAAATCAGTGTCAACTTTGAGCAGGCATGGAGGGGTGCGCATTGGGTGTGTTATTGTACTGGCCACACAGAATGAGTGTCACATGCTTCCATTATGTCAGGCCTACCAGCTGGAAATCAGTGTCAACTTGGAGCAGGCATGGAGGGGTGCGAATTGGGTGCGTTATTGTACTGGCCACACAGAATGACGAGTGTCACATGCTTCCATTATGTCAGGCCTATCAGGTGGAAATCAGTGTCAACTTTGAGCAGGCATGGAGGGGTGCGTCTTGGGTGCGTTATTGTACTGGCCACACAGAATGAGTGTCACATGTTTCCATTATGTCAGGCTTACCATTCGCTTTGTCATGGAATGAAGTGTCAGCTGGCTCGCTCAGACCTTGACTCGTCGAGCAGTTGGACAGACCGTCCAGCTGCTCGAGTGGTCAAGGTCTGACTGAGCCGCTCGCCGCTTGGCTGGTGCTATGACTCTGCTTTGGTTGATGATTCCTCTGCCAAGTGTCACCATGTCGACGACAATTCACTAAAGTCAGGTCTTCCTCCTGGGCATCAGTGTCAACTTAGAGAAGGCATGGATGGAGGGGTGCGTGTTCGGTGCGTTAGTGTACTGGCCACACAGAACGAGTGTCAAGTGATGTCAGGCTTACCGTCTGCTTTGTCATGGAATGAAGTGTCAGCTGGCTCGCTCAGACCTTGCCTGTTGGAACAGTTTTTCGGAGAAAAACTGTTCCAACATGCAAGGTCTGAATGAGCCGCTCGCCGCCTGGTTGGTGCTATGACTCTGTTTTGGTTGATGATTCCTCTGCCAAGTGTCACCATGTCGACAAGCAGTTACGGTGCAGTGGATGTCGATGAATGTCAATCCATTAAAGTCAGGTCTTCCTCCTGGACATCAGTGTGAACTTGGAGAAGGCACGCAGGTTTGCGTATTGGGTGCGTTATTGTACTGGCCACACAGAATGAGAGTCAATTGCTCCTTAATGTCAGGCTTACCAGCTGGACATCAGTGTCAACTTTGAGCAGGCATGGAGGGTTTGTGTTGGGACCCAGTAGGCACCCTCCATGCGTGCTCAAAGTTGACACACCTACCAGCTGGAGATCAGTGTCAACTGTAACAAGGCAGGCAGGGGTGCGTATTGGGTGCGTTATTGTACTGGCCACACAGAATGAGTGTCAAATGCATCCACTATGGCAGGCCTTCGTCTTGGAGATCAGTGTCAACTTGGAGCAGGCATGGAGGGGTGCGTCTTGGGTGCGTTATTGCACTGGCCACACAGAATGAGTGTCACGTGTTTCCATTATGTCAGGCCTACCAGCTGGAAATCAGTGTCAACTTTGAGCAGGCATGGAGGGGTGCGCATTGGGTGTGTTATTGCACTTGCCACACAGAATGAGTGTCAAATGCTTCCATTGTCAGGGTGTCAAGACAGATTTTGGTTTCTGCCTGCTCTTGCAGGCCACCATCGTCTGAGCTGCCAGTGTCAGTGGCTGCTGATTGTCGCGTTTTTCTTGTTACCACTGTTGACATTCCACATGATCGCGGGAGAAAAAGAATGAGTGATTGCTGCTTGGTGTTGCATTCACATGGATGCACAAAAACAGCCCGGATCCATAAATAATTTTCAGGGCTGCCAAAGCCCATCCCAGTAGTAATATATATATATATATATATATATATATATTTTTTTATTTATAATATACGCACACACCAGAGATGCTTCAATGCAACATCTTTGGAATGAGTTTGAGGTGTTTTAGACTTCTTCTTCCCCAAATTCCCTGACAGATTTGATTTATATAGGCGCTAAGCTTGAGCCGTCTATCAAGGTATGTGGCACTGAGTTTCCAGCATGCCTGGCCCTACGTTCTACTCACCTGGCTGCTTGCATTGGTGGTGGTGGAGCTCCTTATACTGCCGAGTGGGTCCAAGTCCTTCCTGGTAGATCACCTATAGTCTCTATTGTAGTTCCTTTTTTACTTAACCAGTTTTATGGTTAGGATCCTAGCGTAGAGATTTTGGTTAACCAAAAAAGGAACTACTATGGAGACTATATAGGTAACTTCTAACGTAAACCGAGGTATTTCGGAGTGAGTGAGTAGTTGCACAGTACGTAAAGCTGTTGCGGGCACTTTTCTATGCTTTTCGTGATGAATGAACAGCGGGCCTGATACAAGGACAAGTAGTTATGTCTGTGTTTTCTGCGCCCCGTGAGCTCAACGAAGGCTCTTGACTTGTCTGGACCTTGTACCGGTGATCAGCCACGCCAGTTTCAACTACCAGGGTTTCAGGCAAGAGTGTCCCTTCAGCTCCTAGGTAGCACTGAGAACAAGCTGCGGTTTTCCAGTTCAAGGTTCGGTTGCCGCCTCAACCCTAAACCAAGCCCCAAACCCACAAGACCAAAGCCAAAGCCTGAAATAGGAACCACGAACCCCTCAGACCTATGCCGCGTGCCCTTCAACCCTTTAGCCCTGTAGCCTTAAACCATAACCCTTCAATCCCCCAAACCTCAAGTTTTCAACCAGCCCGAATGTTGATGTCTGTTCCTGCAGAGCAACTCAAGGTGGCCTTGGCCTCTTCGTAACCATATGTATGTACGAAACATATCTAAAGATACGTAATTATTACTGATTAAGCGTATGACGAATAATACGAGTAGCCTGAATATTCACAATAATCACGACAGTAATCATAATCATGAGAATTCCGGACCCAGGTGGCCTTGGCCTTTTCGTAGCCATGCCAACGTCTGTCCTGACGTTCTTCCTGGCTCCGTACTTCCCAGACACTCGAAGTCTTTCTCGAATCTTATGGGAGTTAGGGTTTTAGGGTATAGGGTTGCGACCTACGGGTTTAGGGTTTGGGTTTAGGTTCTAGTCTCCGAGGTAGTTCTAACTACTTTCCACACACTCGGCCGTTGTTGGCATATTCCCTAAGCCCTCGGGGCTGACTGGTAACCTTTAACCCTCTGGGGCTCATATATTCCCACCATAGCTTACCAGGTTAACCTGTTCTGGGCTAGGATACTCTGCCCCTTAAGAAACAGGGCGGTGCGCGCCATGGAAATGTTACATGAAGAGTAGAGTTGATGTGTGCGCCACGGGAGGTTCCCGGGACACAGCTCCCGCTGTGGCTCGATGCATACTCCCAAAGGGTGCAAGTAGTAGTGCAGCATATATTTTTGGAGCCAAGCAGCCATACATTAGTACTTGGACCCTTTGTGACTATGCACTCTGCACTGATGTCCTGTCACTTCACAGGATCCGGCGGGTCCCGTGCACGACCCATGGTATATCCCAATGCGTTGGAAAAGTCTTGAATCCCTTGCAAGTACTTCCGGGAAGTATTTTGCTCGTTTACTCGGTTCACAGGAGCGGTTTTCTTACAAGAACCAAGTTCAGACAGCAACAAGTGACAGAACCAGCTGTCAACAGCTTCCAACAACAGCCAAGGACATCGTGGACAAAGGCCAGTCTTGTTTCCTTGATGTGGTCAGCATCAACCAAGTTGACCCAGAGATGATGCGCCAGGGAATCTATGGATCCGTGGCTTCCAATCACTTTTCAGACAGTATCAGACAGTCTTGTCAGCTTCCCAACAAGGTAGGGTATGAGCTTAAGTCTGTGTGTCCAGTCTTTTGCGACATAGACAGCAAGTCGGCTGGACAGCCCTACCCTGCTCCGTCGCATCAACTGGCCAAGGGCTGGGTGGCTTCCTAAGCGCGTCCAAGGAGACCAAGCTCTTTTGGAGTGTTTGCTTGCAGGGATACTGTAAGGTAAATAGTGTTGGGATGGTGGTAAGGAGCAAGAGCAGTAGTAGTCGTAGTCGTGGTTCTAGGCGGCCTTTGAGTTTAAACTTAGAGAGTCTAGACGTGAGAGTTTTGGAGCCCATGCGACCACGTCAATCATGAGGCCGGCCAAAGTGAATCAGAGTTGTCGAAAAATATTTACCACCATGTGCATGTGTGCACAATAGGTATTTAGAAGCATTTTTACTTGTGTATATATATATATATACAGATGTATATATACACATAAAGAACTGTACATGTACATACATCCATGCATACACATATACAATGAAGCTTCTCAGAGGCATATAAAGATCATGAACTTATAATAATACAAGTATCGGAAATGGCTGTTGGCAGGAGGTTTGAATTTGGTTTGAATCATTTGGTTCCTGGCTTGCCCCGAGAACACCTCCGGTAGCTGTCGGTCGGGAGAGGGGGCGGGCGGTGCGAAAAGACAAAACAGAAAGGGCAGCGGCGGGGGGAGACAACAACAAAGCTCTTGTAGCATAGTTCGGCTTCTTAGAGGAAGTCTTAGAGTCTAATAGTTAGTTGTCACCTCCTCGAGAGCTCTGGACTCAGTTTTTTTTTTGCGTCCGCCTCTCCCCTCCTCCACCAAGCGCACGCAGATTTGTGGGGGCCGGGACCGACCAAGAGCCACGTGATTCAAACCCTTTGCCCTAGGCCCATGCACACCTTCACTACGAGGCAGTATCCCTAGGCATCTAAGGACTCATATATTAAGGCTTTTGGGCCCAAAGACCATACTATATAAGGCTTTTGGGCTGTTTTGATGCCCAGGGTATGTGTTCCATGCAAAACAGCTGGATAACAAATGTAACAAACTAACCGGATGATGATGTACAAGAACCATGTTATGGTGCATGTATAGGTCTGATATCATAACCAACAGTTTACGAAGATAAGTTGTTGGTGGTTAAGACAACACCGTATGATAAAGAAGCCTCGCATTGAAAGACATTTCCGTATCAATGGGTACGAGTTCACAGCATATCACCATGTGCCATAGGGTTTGCCGAGGGTTTTGGCCGCATGTGGTGCGATCCCTCTTGCCCACGTGGCTGCAGTGGGTAGCGCATAGACAGAATGTGAGATGTTGGAGAGACCTTCCTGCCAGATGGTTTCATGGCCACGTAACACATACATGAAAGTCCATTGACATTACATAAATGGTTGCGGAAAGACCGCTGGTGCAAATGGTGGGTGGTTGGGTGCCCCGCATTGACTGTTCCATTATGGTTGCCAACATTGGCATTGGGCTGCCCATGTGCGCTGTTGTTCTGCCCAATTGCCACTCAGAAAAGGTTAAAAGTTAAATGAGAGCACGTCCCAAGCTAAAACGACTTGGGTACATGCATGTCAGAGTTTGTACGGTTTCTTGTGTGAAATGAACTAGAGAGATAATTGTTCATAATATGAACGATAAACTCTGTCGTGGGCTTTGCCAAGACAAATTGAGATTATGCAGTCTACTGGCGCGCTGCGAGAGTCCTAGAACTGATTAGGGTCGCGTGTGTGTATGAGTATGTTTATGTTTCTATGAGAGCATGATGCGTTTGCACGGCAGCCACCTTCTCACCAGACGGGGTGGCCAAGGACGTCTCAAAATGTGCTTATAATGCTGCAGATAGATCTGCAGATGCCTCCATACAGAACAATGGTAGTAAAGCACCATCTCTTTGCAAAATGATCCGAATGTTGTGTTATATTGTGTGTGTATGTACGTAATATGTGTACATATATACACATATATATATATATATATATATATATATACATGTATTTATACATATATACATATACAGATGTGTAGTATGCTGTTACAAGTATATATACACATAGTATAGAGTACAAAGATAACATACTATGTCATGCTACATATTGTAAATAGCAGTTTATACATATTTTTGTGTGTGTATCTCTAGATTAACCAATGTAATATGATTGAATACAGTATGTGCTTTATTGTGTTATGTTATGTCATGTGATGTTTCATTTGTTGTATTCAGGTTGTAGTATGCTTTATTGGAACTTCAACTTCTATTTCTACATGTGTGTGCATATACAGACTACTCTGCATTTTCGCTGTATTCTGTACACACGTTTATTCTGTATACATATTGTATTACATGCGTGTATATGTATATATGTACATTTCATATTACGTGGATGTCTGTCGGTTGTGCGTTTGATTGGTACTTAAGATTTTCCAGGTGTTTCATGCGAATAATAGATGTGTATATATATATATATAATATGCACATCTATATATATATATATGGATTACATTTTGTAACTCCTTCTATACATGTATACAGGTGGAGACAGACAGACAGACAAACAGACAGTAGAGAGAAAGAGAGATAGAGAGAGAGGGACAGAGAGAGATAAACACAAAACAACAAGAAGCAATATGGTGGCTTGACAAACTCCTTAACAAGACCACCTTTCAGGAGCTGAGGATCCTCTACTCCGCGCCCTACCTCACCAGGCGTCTCCATGATCTAGGAGTGTTATTTTTGATTTTGGGTTTCCTTATTGTAGCTATAATATACTATACCCCTAAACTTCGTTCTCATTTTGTTATTGAGACCCATATATTATCTAGGAGTTTCAATTTTGATGTCTTTCGGAATCGTTTCAAGACTGGGTATTCTGAGGAGCTGTCTATTATGGTGCAGCAATCTGATTAAAGTGCGTGCCTTGAAAGCAAAGCCAACCCTAAACAACTTGTGCACCTTGCTACATGGCATATACTTTCGTCTTTCCAGTACGTACCTATACATATAGGAACCAGGTCTCCCAGCCCAGTCGGCCGTTTTCCTTCGTGGCCTTAGGTTTCTTATTCAAGGCAACATGCCGAAACCGGGCGCCCATTTCATTCCTAGATGATTGGGGATCCGAGAGATGAACCCACAGCCGGGCACGTTTCCGGCCTCGAGTTCGGCGACAGCAATCAGTGCATTAGATCCCGATACCTTTAAAGCCGTACACAAATCCACCCCGTTCCTTCACAAGACAGCCCAAACAGTGAGCCTGGATTCCTAAGCGTTCAACCCAGAAAACGAGCGTAGCCATCATCAGAGGCTGTGGTGTGTGTTCGAATTGGCCGCTTTTCGAACGGCTAACCCGTGCGGCAGGACCAAGCTTTTCTTCCAGAGATTCGGAAGCTCTTCACGTTCCGAATATACGAAATCCTATAACCAAGCCATATAGAAGTCGTTATATAGTTAAGGTACGTACTTCAAGGCTTTTTTTGAGTGTTTGGCTTTTCCGAGTTCACTAGAGATTGAGCGTGCCCGCCAAAACTGGTTTTGTGCGGAAAGAGTCTGGTACACATGCAAAGACCTGTTTTGACTGCTGGGGCTCCATGCTACTTTCAGGCAGGGTCAGGTCCCGGGTGTCCTTTCTACCGGTGTGCATCATCGGGGTAACACTGATAACCCATATTAGGGGACTTACAACCCTACTTATAACTACCCCTGAACCTCCAAGTAAATTGCGAATCTTGGCAGCCTCAGCCTCTACTGCTGCTGCGCACAGTCTTCCTAGATAATATGGAAGCCCAAAAAATTTGCCAATCCTATTTCCCTGATGTTCCTTATGCTAGCTCGAATACTATAACGGAGCCCAGAACCCTATTCCAATTATTCGGGCCCCTACATGTCTACTTATATTTCTGCTGGGGCGCTTCGGATCCGAAAAGGCCTCATGACGAACTCAAAACGCACAACAACACCCTGACACTTCCAACTTCCAGCAGGATCCGGTTCGCCCCTTTGCTCCTCTGAGGTAATTATTTCTCAGATGCGAGGTGTGCGCTCTGAGGGCGTTGGGATTTCATGGTTTATAAGGGTTTGCGATTCAACTTTTGAGGGTTAGGATTCAGGCGTTGCGGTAGGCGATTTGCCTGTCATAGCATGTGGCAAGCGGAAGCGGGAAGCATTAGTGCTTGTTGTTGCCTGGCTGCACTGACCGTCATCGTGCTGTGCACGACGGCAGGCAAAAAGCAGGCAAAGGCAGAGTGTGACTACAGCATCCATGCGACCACAGTTTTCGATGACGCGCAACCATTAAGTATGTTCTGGTTGCCGCGCATAATTGGGGGGCCCAGCCAGTTACCAATACTAGTTTTTTTTTGGAGGGGGAGTGGGTGGGGGGGTGGGAGGTGGATGTGGGTTCCTTCTACATTATCATTATAGCTATAGTATTATCATTATAGCTACATTATAGCTAAAGTAGATTGTTGTAGATACCAAGGCGGCAAAGCTATTAACTGAGTACGAATCCGACCTCAGCTCTGCTGGGTCCCCAAGTTGTTCCATTGTTGCCGGTGCATCGCGTTGCCACGATATGGGAGTTTCCCCAAATAGGGGACCCCAGTATAGTAGCCTAACTAGAAGGATCCTTATTATAAGGACTCCACAATAATGTCTCCCTAATTTCGGAAACTCCCATATCCATCAGGTCCAGCAGGGCGAGCTCTTGCAAGCAAGTAGTAAACGATCGGTGGGGATGAGAGTCGAACAACCCTTGCCACCACTCCAGTGCGATCAACTGGGCTGTTGCTAAAGAGTTAAAAATATGTTACCATAGTAGGCGTCTATAGCAAATTATGTGGTTCTTTGTTATGGTAACGTAAATTGAATCCCTGAACCCTTAAAGGAGCCTTTTTAGATCCCTTAAAGGAACAGTAACTTTGAGCAAGGTTTGTGGAGATCGGGGGTGCTTTTCTCTGGCTCGGTGGTACAGCGGCGATTGTCGTCTACTTCAAGGTGATGATTGCCACAGGCATGTGGAGGTTTCCAAAAATTCGAGGTACCTTATTTCGGAGTCCTTATAATAAGGATCCTACTATTAAGTGTACTATGTTCCGATATAGTAGAATGTAGTGTTTCCAAATGAGGAATTACTGTTATGACTTAGGGAATTATCCCCCATAACAGTACATAGGATCCTTTGGGTTGACCCTAAGCCCTAAACCCTAAAGGAAAATCCCATGTCTGGGGCTTGCGGGTTTAGGCTTTCAGGGTTCACGAGCCTTGGAGTCTCAGAGCCGGACCCAGCTGCGTTCCACAACCCTACACCCCGAAACGCTCCACGGATCTATAGGGATTCTATAGGGGTATATGGGTTAGGCTTCATGGGTAGTTATAGGTAGGGTTTTAAGTAGGGTAACTATATATAATGCTTATAACCCATATTAGGGGACATATGGGAGTTTCCGAAAACTCAGAGGTACCTTGTTTTGGGGTCCTTATAATAAGGATCCTGCTAGTTGGGATACTATAATAGGGTCCCCTATGTTCGGAGACTCCCATATCTAGACTGGCCAACCACCACCCGCGCACGGCCTGGCATTGCCTGCCAAACCCTGCATCAAGAACAAAAACCCTCAATTTATCAAAGCTCCACCCCTGAACACTAAAGCCTATGCCCAAATTGTGACATTACTCTGAAAGCCCTTGTGGTGGTGGGGACCTAGCAGCTTTCCAGCTCAGGGGGCCGTAATCTTGATCGATTCGAGCTGTGAACTTGCAAGCTTCTAAGGGTTTACGGTTTAGGCTACCCTTTTTCCTTCTATTCGGTTGTAGTATGGTAAAAGCCAGAAAGTTGGAATATGATTATCCTAAACCCTTTATGGTAAATTATAGGGTATCCTACGCTGAAACCATATTCCAACTTTCTGGAGTTCCCTATAAGAGGACCTTAAAACAACAATGGCGACAGGGTATTGCTCGGGAACCTAGGTTTAGGGCTCATAGGGTTTATTCGGCTTGGAGAAGCGTTTCGAGAACGGTGAGGTCGGGGCCGTTACCTTCATCCTAGCCCTCAGGCTCCAAGTGCAGAGTATTTCTTAAATCATATCAAGGATCCTATTGTAATTTAAGGTTTACGCTATATATGTACTATATTTATATATACAACGGATGTTGGAGTCTTGGGGAAGCGCCCTTTGCAGCTTCCTATCGCGCTTTCCTGCTGAACAACACCGTTCTTCGAAGTCCTGAAGGGGTTGATCGAATCTCAGCTCTACAAAAATCCTAATTAGTGGCCCGAACTGTTCAACTTTAGCTCTTATAATGCAGTCTTATGGGAAAGCTTGAACCTCCCCCTAGGTATTAGGGAAGTAAGAATTCCCAAAGTGACATGCCGCTTGCACTTTGATATCTGCAGATGCCCCACGGCCCCAGGGCTCAGAGAACAACTATAGTCAGGACTGCTTGCAACCCCAACTGGAGTACTCATTGCAACGCATCACGACCGGGAGGATTGGAGAGCCTCGTTACTCTACTCTTTGCGACGATCCCTGTCTTCGTTGTCTTCCACATGCTGCGGAAGAACCTGTCTCAGAAGCGCCAGGCCTAGCAATCTGTCTGTTTCACGGCGCGGGGGGAGTTGTTTGGGCTGGCTTGGTGACGTACGTGTTGTGCACGCATGCTGGCAGAATTTCTTCCCGGCCTGCAAAACTCGTACGTGAGTCAAAAGAACCGAAAATATCAGAGCACAGCAACGCCGGCAAAGCCAAAGACGATGCTTTCAGCGGTTACGGGCTTGGGGTTTAGGATGTGCGCAAATGTCGGCTTATCTTAAAAAAGCGTAGTGTTGAGTGCTGAATAGCTTCATCGCGAAGCAAGCGGAGAGGAGCGAATCAATGGAACATGTTACAATGCAGTTGCTGATGCTGTCTCCAGCTCTTGCAGTCAACTCGACTCATACATTCTACATCGGTTGTAGCACGCGCTCGCTGTTGCAATGGTAAGGTTTCGGATGCTGGCATGCTTGATCCCTAGCCCTTTAAACTCTGAGCGCGCCAGGAAATGAACTTATGCACTCTAGTGCACACTCGCTCTTGCAATCGTAAGGTTTCGGACGAGGGTTTAATCCCTTAACATAAATTCTGCGAGAGAGCGAAGAGAGAGAGCGAGAGAGAGCTAGAGCTCTTCGATACGTCCCAACCCTCTACCCTGGGAGAATCCCTTATAGAGTGTCATGGGTAATCCCTGCTGGAAATCTCTTCTTCGCCCTTTACAACTCCTGTTCGATCTCTTTGCGCGCAATCCGGAAAGAATGCCCTCCCGCAATTGGTGTTTTACACTACGGTATGGTTTAGAAATCGGGGGAGGGGATTATGGAGTATCCCGTTCAAGGACCCTTCCACACCGCTCTCCCATTAAAGCAACCCTTAAAGGAACCCTTTAGCAGTCCTACTTGGAGGTTCATGGGTGGTTATAAGTATTGTTATAAGTAGGGTAACTATACTTATAACCCATATTAGGGGACGTATAACACTACTTATAACTACCCCTGAACCTCCAAAGAAATTCAAGCCAGGTGTTCCATGATTTGGCGGCCTTTGAGCTCTCGGCCGCGGGATGTCGCGGGGCCGCCGACAAGGAGTTCATCTACGCCGCCATCGAGAACTGGTACGGTAGCTCGGCGCTGCGTGCTTGGGTTTCTGTAGGGAGTTCAGGTTGGGGGTTTAGGGTAGCTCGCCGGATAGGCTTTTGAGGCATGCGCGAGGGCATTATAAAGGAATCAGTGGATTTCAGCTGAACTTAAGGTCGAGGGAGGTGCGGCTGAAGAGTTCAGGCGTCTACCTCAAACACCGTCGAAACTATGTGCTTTGTGTTGTTGCGGGTTGTTGGGCGGAAAATCACATGACGGCAAGAGTCGTCGTCGGCCCTTCTCGGTGTTGGTTCACTCCCTGTCCGGGCCGGTAGACTGAAGCCTTACAAATCTCAGGGGTACTTAGATTTTTTTGATTTTTGTTTATTATAATCCCTAAGAAACAGCTAAAATTACAATTTTTGCTAGGGTTCTAAGTTCAGTATACAAAAAACTGCAGGTTAACTAGGTTCCCCAGTAGTACCCTTTTCGCTCTTTTTTTTTAAAGGTTCGCCTGGTCAAACAGGATGAGTCAGGGTTCGGAAAGATTTGGGCCAAGTAATGTTTTGCGGTATTTGGGCCCCAATACACATTGGCTTTATGCTTGGTAAGAGCGCAGCGACCCTCCGATGGGGTACCCCCTTCTTGTAAGAAGCCTCCTAAACCCCTAAACCGTAAACCCTCAATGTGCGCCGGGTCTGCGCAGCTGCAGGAAGCCTAGATGCCTTCACGGCCTATGTTCGCGGCCCCCTGCGTGACGAATTGCTGGCAAACCACCTGGGCACCAGCCTTCCGTGGAACTACGCATTGCTGATCGCGACCCCATGGATAACGCTAGGTACTCCGCCGCGATGAGTGTTTAAGCTTGGGGAGTTCAGTTTTTGGATGGTTCAGGTTGAGGACTTGTTTTTTTGAGAAGCTCACAAGTACACCGAATGGATTCGCTCAACTCCCAAACCCTAAGCCCCATGCTCTTCGCAAGTGAACCAATAGCGCTCCAGGAGGCTTCCTTTATATAGCCTGAAATTCCTACGTCGCTAGGATCTCTCACAGGGTCTTAAGTACCTATATAGTCCCATGTAGCCTTTCTTTAGTAGGCATCACTGCTATGATTTGGCATAGTACCCCCAATATCAGTACCTAGGACTCTTTCCCTAAGTGTCCATGTATTCAAAGAGTATATACTTTGGCCTTAAAGTAGTTTTTTTTTTGGTTCTTTGGGGTCAAAGTATATACTACTTGGGTACATGGCACAGGGACCCTCAGGGTTTGCGTTTCAGAACAAGTTATCTCCAAACAGGAGCCCATCGTTAAAGGTTCGCAAGAAAGAGATCATTGGGCTTCGGGCAAAGGGCACTTGGAGGTTCATGGGCAGGTATAAGTAGGGTCATAAGTGGGATAAGTATACAGTTATAAAGCATATATATATATATATATAATCCATATCATAGGACTTATCAACCCCACTGAAATAAGCCAATGAGTCTCCAAGACGACCAGGAATGGACGCTTTGGCAGCACAGGTGCGAGCTGGGGCTCCCATTCACAACTTGGTGTCCTACGGCTGCTAGGTCTCTTAGTAGTACCCTGCTGCCCTTTTTGTTTTTGGGTCTCCTCAACTGAAATACTGGTGGGGAGAAGGGCATCCGTAGTATTAAAGTGAAGCCCAGAAAGGTGGAACATTGATTTAAGATGAGTAGTGCTGGGATCCTTTATATCACCTATACCTTAGTTTACTGGCAGGAGAACGATGTTCCAACTTTTTGGCTTCTACTATAAACCCTCGAACCCAAAACCCTAAGCTCTTAAACATAAGTTACAAACCCTCAAGCCCCGGACATCTGCATGGCCCAAAGAGAACTCCGTAACCTAAACCCTAAGCACTGGCCTCTACTATAAAGGAACCCTTATGGATACCTTAAAGGAGCCCTTCAAGGATTCCGGAAAGGAACCTGCAAAGGATTCCTTAAGGGCCTGGGGGGCGGAGGGGGCCCTAAACCCTAAACCCTAAACCGTGGTTTAGGGTTTAGGGTTTAGGGGGGGGGGGGGGGGGCAGGTTGCGGCTCCAGCCTCGGTCTCTTTGGTTTCTGGTGGATCGTCGTCGTGCAGCTCCTTGCCTTGAGCTGCGCACATTTAGGTTTTGGGGTTTCTAGGGTTTAGGGGTTTAGGGGTTCAGGGGTTTAGGGTTTCTAGGGTTTAGGCTTTCTAGGGTTTAGGGTTTCTAGGGTTTAGGGTTTCTAGGGTTTATAGGGTTTAGGGTTTCTAGGGTTTAGAGTTCTTGTTATGGCATTTAACGTATGTAGGTGGGTGGTCTTTTTACTATTTTTTACTTGGAGTTTCTGCTTTAAGGGGCTTTGTATAGGGAACGTTATTCGGGCCATGATAGGCAGTATTAGGACCTGAAAAAACCTAGTCGACTGCCTTGAGTTGGGCAGCTGGGGGCAAGATGGAAGCTTAGATAAACCCCCGAGGGCTCCAGTTACCTACAGTAGAAGCCAGAAAGTTGGAATATGGTTTCAGGGTAGGATACCTTATAATTTACCTTAAAGGGGTTACGATAATGATATTCCAACTTTCTGGCTTTTACCTTAAACCCAAAGGGTCCAAAGTACCTTTATAGTAGAATGTAGCGTTTCTAAATTAGGAATTACTGTTATGATTTGGGGAAGTATCCCCCCATAACAGTACCTAGGACCCTTTGGAAAATGATGGGTTCCTGGGTCATATGTTCTATGGTTAGCTGAGTAGCTGGAGGCTTAGAAAAGCACCAATATTATTCCTTAAGATTCCAACTGTATTGTAATGGATCCCCAAACCTTATACTTATTCTAATTCGGCCCCTACTTTAGGTCGCTGGCTTTAACCACGGCACCCTGATAAAAAGGCCGCAAAGGGCTGTTTCAGCCCCAAGTTCCCAGTTCCTCAACGCAACCTAGAGCAAGGTTATAAGTCCCCTAATTGGGGTTATAAGTACTTATAAGTATAGTTACCTTATTTATAACCCTAGTTACTAAGTCCCATGATCTTTTAAGTAGACCCTAAAGCCCCTCTTATAATAGAACCCCTATAGATCCCCTTTAAAGGAGCCCTTTAAAGTATAACCCTAGTTACTAAGTCACTAAGTCCCACGCACAGAGAGAGGCAACGCACCCGAACCCACACAGACACACATGTACACACGGACAGAAACATAAACGTACACACATAGAAAAGCACACATCGCAGAGAGAGAGAGAGAGAGAGAGCGACAGAGTGAGAGAGAGAGAGAGAGGGAGACAGACCGAACGCGGGCATGCAGCAAGGTTTGCCATGCTTCTAGCCGGGCGATTCCCGATGCCCAAAAACAGCCTGTGGGGACTGGTGCAGTGTCTTGGTCGCAAGAACCCGAGCAGGATCCATCGTATTGCTATCTTCTTGTGGTGGTTGAGGTCCGGAGATTTGAGTTTCAGGGTTTCGAACATCCAAAGTATACCAAAGTGTCCTATGTACTGTTATGCGGGATACTTCCCTAAGTCATAATAGTATTTCCAAAATTTGGAAACCCTACATACTACTACCTAGAGGCTCATACCCTACCCTTTTTTTAGGATACCTAGTTTTATGGTTACATAGGATCTGCTATCTTGAAAAGTAGGCGCCCTAAAAAAGGGGTAGGGTATGAGCCTCTAGGTATATCGGTACATAGGACCCTTTGGGTATTGCTTGCAATTAGAATCGGGTTTTGGGGGCTCCTTACTTTACTTACAGTATAATTAGTATATCCCCAAACCCTATAACACACACCAGAGCCTCGGTTGTGTGGTCGCGCATGCGCAATTCTCTACGGCCAATCTGCATAACCAAGGTCTTTGGCGCTCTACTTGCTGTGCATTGCATTTATCTTCTCCGGAATCTTCATAGGAAAGTGGGCGTACAATAACAGTGTTGCAGCGTCACTTACGTGGTGTGCTGCATCTGGCATGCTGGCTTGTCTAGCCAGCGGTGGGTTGAAGGTCTCTCAGCCGGCCTTTCGCCATCGTTGAGCGCTGCCGATTTTCGGAACGATCGAAAGATAGTTAGTGCCCATGCCTTTCCCGACAGGTCGCTTGGGACGAGCATGATTTCAACGCTTTTGCAGTTCAGAATACATCTCTGGTGTCACGGCTCTGAAACGAGCACTTGGTGTGTGTAGCTACTCCTGCCTGTGCAGCAGCTCCATAAAGTACTTGGTGCTCTTCTCGAGATGCATTTCAGGTAATCTCCTGAGTCTGCATAGGGCACTGGGCAGGGAATGCAAGCAGAGTGTTGCAGGGTCACCCGCGGGGTTTGCTGCCTCTGGCGCAGAGCTGAAGGTCTCTCAGAGGGCCCTTCGCCACCGTTGACCACTGCCAGTCTTGGAAACGACTAAAAGATCGTTAATTTTCATTCCTCGCTCGACAGGGCCTTCGAGTCGGGCATGCTTCCAACTCCTTTGCAGTTTTGAATACATCCTAGGATGCCCAGCAGTACCCTTATTCCCTTTTTGTAGTCCTAGGTTCCTTATAAAGTTACCCAATACCAAAAAGAGAAGCCTTTTTGTTCTTAGGTTACTGGGTATCCTAGCATCTCTCGCGCCACAGCTCTGAAAGAGGCACCTTTTTGCTGCGCAGGAGCCCCACACAAGACCAAGCGCTGTTTTCTATCAGTCATGCACTGGCGTAGACAGATTAGGGCGATTCGGCGTAAGGGTTTACCGTTTAGGTTTCATCGGTGCTAGTTCATCTTTGATGAGGAGAGTGGCGGTCTCCAGATTGGCCACAGCGTTCCGAACCACGTCGCCGTGGCTGGCTTTGAAAAGCCTTCAATGCCAAATTTTCAGCCCCACAGGTCGTTCGAGACCGGCATGAAACCAGCTCACTTTCGTATTTCTGAATGAATACATCTGGTCACAGCTTTGAAAAAAGTGCCATGATGCTGTGCAGGAGCCCCACACAAGCAAGCGTCGGTTGCTGGTAGGTTTAAGGAGTTAAGGCTTGACAGTTTGAGTTTTATCGTTGTAAGGTTCGTTTGGCATTCGGAGATTGTGAGGGGTTGTCAGCAATGGCCACACTTTTCAGAACCACGTCGCCATGGTAGGCTTCGAAGGGTCTCGCCACGTTTCATTTCCAAACACGAAAAGAAGCTTCCTTCCTCTCGACGTCCGTAAGGCTCCAAAGTACCCAGTATTTAGATACATTGGTTTAGGATGCTACAGTAGCACCCTAAACCCTCAACCCGCAACCCCTACAGCCCTAAACCCTAAACCCTTACATAAACCCTACACATAAACCCTTACATAAACCCTACATATATAAACCCTTAGAAGCGACCGTAGGTTCGCCTTTTTGACTGGGCAAGTCTTGGCCTGTTGCCTGGGCGGTCACCTGCGTGCATCCTCTTAGACCAGTTGCCTTACACACGCTGTGAAGCTCCTCAGTTTCGGACGAGATACGAGTGTCTGTAGAGTTTCATAGATCAGCTTAGGTACTATGCGGATGTGGCAGTTCCGTCATAAGCCCTACACCCCATGCCCTCAAACCGTAAGTTTCAAGCACGCTTGGAAAAGGCATCCCTGGAGATCATCAACATGGGATTCTGGGTTCGTGGCTTTAGGATATCGGGTAAAGTGAGTCAGTGAGGCATTACTGAGCAGTCTACATCGTAATTCCTTTCAGGGTTACCTTACTGCTTTCTAAACATAAGAACTGCTAAACTCAAGACGCAACCGCAACGGCGATTATAGGTTGGTAGTTGTCAAAGCTAGGGTCCCTTTTTGGGCCAAATAGAGACCCAAAAAGGACCATAATCTTGACAACCCCCAGGTAGGGTTTGATAATACGTTGGGGTTTCGGATCTGGGTTCGGCGACTACCTAGAGGCTCATACCCTGCCCTGTTTTAGAGTACCTTCTTCTCGATAGGACAGATCTTAACTCCGAACCATGAAACTGGGTATTTATCCCAATAAAGAGGTGGGGTATATCCCTCTAGGTAGGGATTACGGATTCTGGAGGGGTGCTTCCCTCCTCCATACCTGCTCAATGGCTCTCCCTTCCTGTAACAGACAATCTATACCCGTACTGGGTCCCCTGTAAAGGCCTCAAGTAGGTATCCTTTAAGCTTTTGCGGCTTATCTATTCCTACCATAGTTTATAGGCTTAACCTTTTTGGGGGCTACGATACTCAGCCCGAAAAAGCTGTAAACTTGTTTGGGTATTCCAGGCAGGGCACCCAGACGAAACTGAGGAGTTTCTGCTGTGGTGTTTTATTCTAGGGGCTTAGCTAACTACCTATACCATTTTTGGGCTCCTTATGATAATATTATAGTATCATGGGACCCAAAAACCCCATTCTAGTTATTACCCATATGCTCCATAGTAGTTCCTTTTTTGGGGGATTACCTTATAGGGTTCCAAATATGAAGCCCAAAATGGAACTACTACAGAGCCGCAGGGTAAGGCCCCTATACTGTTGATGATCTAAATCCTGCATTTCCCACAATAAGAATATACCATAATTCCCATAGTTCAGGGTCCTTAAGGCAATGCAGGACTTATATCATCCACCGTATTAAGGCCCCCATATTCTAAGGGTACAAGGAGGAGCCCTTAATGAGGATCCCTAGGTATAGAACCTTAATATAGCCATTATATACCCATTATATGGTCCATCATAGGGTAGTGGTCCCCATTAGGGTATATAAGGCTCAATATATTGTCGGGTTGAGGGTTGCGGGTTGTTTTTGTGGATAACGAGCAACAGGCGATGAAGTGTTTTCTATTAGGGACCCAATAAGCACATAAGCACAAGCATTTTATGGGGATATCCTTACCATATTGGGCTTCATAAGGGGGTTTATATGGGATATCCCTATCCTAATTTTTGCGCGGGGCCCTATTCCTTTTCAAGCCCTGCGGCTGCAAGTAGCCCAAAGTGCCAAAGTAGGTATTATTTATCGACTTTCGACCCCCAAAGTAGGCACTGTTTGTATACTTGGAGCTTTAGGGAAAAGCTAGGATGTTTGAAGTTGCCACCGTCTTGGAGGTTCTAGGCTTTCAGGGTTTAGGATTGTGAGGTCAATGGAGCTTGTGTTGATGGTCTCCGAGCGGTTTTATGCTTAGGGTTTAAGGTTTAGGGTATTGAGGTTCAGGGACAAGGGGTCGATATCCGCCTGTATTTTCGCCTGTCGCTTTGGGCTCGAGCAAGTATGCCCGCTTCTCGGCTGCAGTGTTGAGTGCAAAATCTCCGCTGTAGAACATGGGCGCGGGGCCCAGCTGCAACCACTGCACTCCTGGTCAGTTGGATATTGAAGCAGCTGCTGCTGCTGAAAAGTCCACAGTGGAATATGTGACTCAGTGCAGCGGTCAGACTGATGCTGGAACATCCGATGCCGACAAGGGGATGAACGATGACAGCCGCGCCTTATCCGTTTGTAGCCGAATAGACGTGCACACCAGAATAAGAACTCTTAACATGAGATGTAGGGGCCTGAATAAATACTTATACAATTTTGGTGGGCTCCTTGTTATAATTCTCGTATAATGTATAATAGTCCCCAAAACCCTATTCCAATTATTGAGGCCCCTTTTGTACTTGTAGTGCTTCTTTTGGCTGCAGGTAGTGACAGTCACATGTCCGACCCCTCTCCACGCGTGCGCATCAGCAAGATCCTGGCGGTGACCAGCCCGGAGCTCATGAAAGGCAACTTTGAATTCCAAACTACTTTCCCTGGGCATCAAAATAGCCCAAAAGCCTCATATAGTATGGTCTTTGGGCCCAAAAGCCTTATTATATGAGTCCTTAGATGGGTTTTTTAAAACCTGATGAAGAAACCTGGGGCCTATAACCCCAAAACAGTACGATTCATATAAAGAACCCTAATAAAGGCTCAAGATTTCTGAATCAGGTTCCTATATTATAGCGTCCATTGCAGTTCTTGTTTGTGCTTTAACCATTTTCACATCTAGAATCTAGGATCCTGTAAGGTGACCCCAAAAGGAGACCAGACTAAAAGCTACAGGTAACCCCGGACCCTCATGCCCAGAACCCCCGGAACCCGAAGCCCTTGCAAACGCCCTCTCCAAGGACTCCTACACTAGGCTCCTGTGTAGTGCCCTCAAGGAACTCTTTCAAGGATTCCTTAGAGGGCTCCTTAAAGGGTTCTATGAGGGATCTATGGGGGGCTTAGAGTCTGCAAGGTTCCGGAGTAGTACCATTTTGACCTTTTTGGTTTAGGGGCCCCTCGACCGAATAGTAGGAAATAGGGTACCCTTACCCAAAGGGTCCTGTGTACTGTTATGGGGGATACTTCTCCAAGTCATAATAGTAATTCCTAATTTGGAAAACCTACATTCTACTATATCGGTACATGGGACCCTTTGGGTTATTATGAAGAGGCTACTCAGGGATCTCGTAAAAAAATCAGAAAGTCCCAGATCCTGAAACCAATGTGTCACTAAGGCGTACCCTAAGATTCCGAATAGCCCAAAGCAGGTGGTGTTTACTATAAGGGCCTAAACGATTTCCTGTACTATTTTTGGTGGTTCTTTATGATAATTGTAGTATGGAGGTTGGCCCCAAAGCCCTATTCTAATTATTAAGGGCCCCTATACTACACCCTTATAGAAGCCCTATAAAGGACCCCTTCTCAGGAACCTTAGTCTAATTACTAAGGCCCGCTGTATCATGGACTTGCGATCTCTCCAAGAAGGTTCTATTTGTACACTTGGAGTCGGAGGGTCACGGTTTGGGCTTTGTGAATTTCTGTAAAACGTTCGAAGCCCGTAACCTCTAAGCCCAATTCCCGAGGTATCTCCATCCCCAGAAGCCCTAAACCCTAAACCCTACAGCCCTAAGTTTGGGAATCCTCTTTAAACCATCATAAGCCCCTAAACCCCAAGACAAAGTCCGAGGTA